TCTTTTACAAGTTTTCCCATGAATTACACTGCTATTGCTCATTGACATTAGAAATATTTTACATTTTTATGCAGATATCTCAATAATTATAAGCAAACGTCACCAAGCAGAAATAACTACTTATATGAGACATGGACAAATTATATGTTAATTCACAAAGTAAGAATTAAGAGCTTACTTGGCATTAGGATTTGATGCTACTGCTGATGTAGGAAGAATACGTTCAGCCAAAGCATAAAAAATCTCATTCATAGAGCTTCAAACAAAAAGGGAAGCAAATCCATCATAAATAAAGTTCAAAAACAAGCACATGGCTAAAGCTGCTAGACATATAACCATGACCAGGCGGAAGAAGAGATGTAAAAACAAGAACCTTTCCATATTATACTGACAAACACAACTGACTACAACTAAATAACACCCACAAAATAAAAATAAAATTGCGGTGCATGGAGGTTGGATTGAAGTTTTTTCTTCTCCAAACAAATCAGTTCAAGTACATAAAAAGGGAAATTCAGATAATTTTCTCTGAAAATCAAAACCAAAGACAAATGACTGTATCAAACATTTACCATCTTGGATAGAGAATGAAGATCTGAAAGCCAGAGTGTAGAAAGACTTGTTGAATAGAGGACAAAGCCTCCTAAATTAGAGCATCCTTCCATCTTAACGCTCGTGAGACACCGTTTGTCAGCAACAAAACGACCAAGTTCATCTGTACATATAATAACAACATTAAACACTTTGCAACAAAATTTGCAGGGGCGGGTACAAGTTCCAGAGACCAAAATTCAACTAAGACTCCTTACAGTCAGAAAAAGTGTCATGATTTATAACCAGAAGCATACTGTTATGAAAGTTGCTTCATAGGGCTTAGTGAACTGCGCATGCTATTACATTTCAGATTAAGATAAAAACCAAATAAATAAGATTATTAGTCCATTTTACCCTGCTTTTTGACATCAGTTAACATAATCTCAACATTTCATGATTATCAAACAGATCGTTTCAGTTCCCATAAAAGAAAAACAGATCAGTCCATGATAAACATGGATAACAACATAAAAATCCATAGTAACATAATTTATAAGTAACAAGTAAACAAACACCAATAATTAAAATAAAAAGGCTAAGATGTTGTGTGATTATACCCTGTGATCCGATTGACTGCTGTTTCCGATGTACAAATCTCCATACTCTCCAAATTAGGGCATGAAAATGCAATGCAAGCCAGCATTGTTGAATCCACATCACTGCAAAACTCAATCGAAAATTTTTCATCGGTAAACAGAGCAAAGAACAAGAATAGGCAACAGTACTTTCAGATCTATTGGACTATCACTTGTTATTAAGACCCTACAGAAACAGAGCATGAGAACAAACTACATCTATTAGTCATTGCTTAAATTAATAAATAGCCATCAAATTTTCCACCGGGTGAACAAAGATCTTCAAAGTCCCATATCAGTAACCTACGGCATTGTTTGGCTGGGGCTTATAAGTGCATGTTAGTTCTTAATCCTTGAAAGATTTTCCAAAATGTTTGCCAAACAGCATCGCACTGAAATGCTGCTCTGATTGATCAGTTTGCTTACAGATCGACTTACATTTCAGTGATTTCACTTTAGTGATTATAGTCCAGTTGATTTCCTTGTTTCCAAATGATGATAGTTTTATCTTAATCTTCAGTAGTATCAATTGATCCAATGGACAAAACCCTAGATCTGATCAAAAAAGACCCAAACCTTTCCATTCTAAGGGAGAGCCTAACGAGGGCCGGGCATTTCTGCAAGAGGGATCCAACGAATCCGAGCTGAGTTCTACGAGGGACTCTAAGTCTCAGCTCCTCGGCCGCTCGCCAGAGACTCCTGGCTGTATCCCTCCACCCCTTGCATACCCCCGCAGCAGCTATAAGCTCCACAGGAGGTAGCCTCCTCAAAACCTCCCACAGACACACCGCCGACAACCCACCGGACCTCATCACCTCATCCGGATCCAGATCCGGAGGCGACTCCTGGTAATCGGAGTTGTCCACTGCTCGTTCCGGCGAGTCGCAGCGAACATCGACATCATCAAACGAAAGAGCACGACGGAAGTTGGAAGGCTGACGCGACTGCGGGGTATTAGAGGTGCGGGAAGCAGAGCAAGAGGAGTCAACTGTGGTCGTCGGACCAGGAGTAGCGGCAGAGGTTGCTTGAACAGCAACGTTGCAGGAGTGGCCCTTCTTAGGCATACCACATCTGCTGCAGTTGTAGTTTCCCCGACGTTTAGCAGGTTTCAAGTCAAGAATGGGGACCGCAGCCGCACCAGCTGAAGGGATGTGAGGCTGGTTGCGGTGCATGTTATCCGACTGAGCTAAAGAAAGTGAGAGAGCGAAGGAGACGAGATGAGATGAAGAGAAGGAGCGGAGGACAAAAGGGAGGGCGTGAGGAAGAGGGGAAATAAAGGGAGAGGGAGGGGCGGGAGAATTGGGAGGATTTGGCGCCTGATTTCGAAAGCTGTGGGGAGAAAGGTCAGAGGAGGAGCGTGGGTTTATTATTTGGATTCACCATTTTGCCCTCGTTACGGTGAAAAAGCGTGATTTATTAACATTTTTCAGATCTAAATTTCCCGGTTTAGGCGGGGAGGCGCTGCCAGGAGCCACGCTGGATTCAGAATTACTGCTCCTTTGGGTAACCTGAAAAATAGAAAATGGAAATTTTTATTTATATTTTTTTTTCTTATGGGAAAATATTTTATTTTCCATTTTGATTTATCATGAATATATTGAAATTCAGAATTTTGTAAAAAAAGGAAAAAATAATTGAACATGGGGAAAATGCAGGGGCGGAGCCAAAAAATTTTTTTCAATGGGGATGTGATAACTTTTTATATATTAATTTATAAAATTTTTAAATTTCAATGAATAAGATAATTTTTTATATATTAATTTATAAAAATTTTCAAATTTCAAGGAGCTAACGCCCCCCTCGCACCCCCTCCCTCCGCTGCTGGGAAAATGTGAATCCTGTTTGTTGTTGAGTAGGCTACATTGTGTGTACCTTCCTTCATCCATTTTTAGCTGATATAATTAGTGCGTTTGCAAATTTAAGATTTGATTTATAAGATAATATTTGTGTTTAATTTGATTAACATCTAAATAGTTAAATGATAGTTTTTTTAATAAAAATAAAAGATTTTGATTTTGAATCATATTGTACGAAGAAAATTGTTTCTCATTATATAATTTAATATTAAAAACATATATATTTG